GGATATGGGATATTCAGCAGCGCAAAGCTGGTATTAATTATACAGCCAGGATATCAAATGGTACAATAGGTCTGGCTCCATGCAGTTTGGACTGGGCTGCAGATTAATCATCCCAGCACTCAGTACTGTATGAATTTCTAAAGCTTGTTGAATCTGTTTGATCACACTCATACATAGCTATTTGATATAACCAATTAAATTCCATAATACAATATATTTTGAATTTTAGTTATTTAAATATATAAATTATAAGTTGTTATAAACGGTTCAATGAACCGTTCATCGATTTAATTTGATGCTTATATTGATGCTAATGTACTTCTGATGATAAATGATATGTAATATATATGTTTAAGTTATATGGATGGTAGCACATTAGCATTTTAATTAAATTGCAGTAAACTGCTTTTCACGCAGGTAATTTATAGTACACGTGTTTATAGTACATGTGTTCAGATTCATTGGAAAAAAACCCTTGTCTGTCTGTGTTTAGCATTTATAATAACAGTCTCCAAAACTACATAATATGTCCATTTCAGTAAGAAGATGCCGTTGGTTTTCTACACATTCGGGCATTGACCTTCTGACTCAGCATGTCTGTTCAGACTCATTGTTCTGTTCATCTAATGCTGGTTGTCACTATGGGCCTCAGAAACAAACTGCCTCTCTGACACTAATGAGTGCTGGTAAAATAGGCAGGTAATCTAATCAAATACAGTGTCAGAGCAATCTCATCTCAGGCTTTGTGCTCTTCTCAGCGGCAGACGATCAGGCAAGGACCTTAGGCTTAATGTTGAAAGATCCAATTAATACGGGTATGGTCTAATTATTTGTGCAGTGTCATGTTTAAAATGCATCAGAGTCTATGCTTGCCCTGAACACATTTGAGAGTCATGTGCTTATGCTACACTAAATAACTGACTTTTATGTGTAGCTGCCCTTCTTCATGCTTCTAAAAAAAATGGCTTGAGGCTCATCAAACTAATTAGCATTAGTTGACAAGGAATTTACTGTATTCTTTGTATACTAGCTGAATATGTGGAGTTTGCAGGTGTTGAGAGTATACAGTTGAGCTGAAAAATAGGATTGGATGAGTTTCACTGGTATTCAGCACAGAACCTAAAGGAAAACTGACAGCTCAATACGACAAAATATACTTCTGGACTTAACCTTACATCATTTAGTATCATTTAGACCCAATAAGGTATTCATTTCATATTTGAAAACTTTTTTTTCCATTTAAATTAATTTTTATATCATTTAAAGAATGCAGTTTATTAATCATATAATAAGTACAGTGGTACCTCGGTTCTCGAACTCACTAGAACTCGAATTTCTTGAAAGTCGAACAATTAAACCAGTTTGACCTAGAACTCGATCTGGATATCAGAAGTCGAACCGTGAACGCTGACCTAATATAAATTGTACGCGCCAGGAAATGAGTCATACTACAATGCAATTCTTACTTGAATGCCTTCTTCACAGACTGGACGATTAACCAAATAAAGCAGCGCAACATTACAGTAACTAACAATAAATAAACCACTAACTTACGTGTACTATTAGAACATTTATGTCATTTATTTAAACTTTATTTTACCAGGTAAATTAACTGAAAACCAGTTCTCACTGCTTTACGTGATATTCAGGAGAAATAGCAGATTACACATCGGAACTGCCTGGGATACAAACGTCATGCGTGTAACTCTTCAGCCAATAAGTCGTCACGTAGGCGGTTCCAGTTTGTGCAGCCGGGTGAGAGGTCGCAATGAATCTAACAGTAATGCATTGCGTCAGGATCAGGATGCGTTGCTTTAAGCCAGCGCTGTAAGCAAGTCGAACGCACCCAATGACAGGACTGGGGAGACAAACTGAAACGCGGACTTAATACAGAGGACTAATGACAACAACCAGAAACAACTGATCACATGGGGATCCCACACGAGGTTAACGAGAGGGCGTGGCACACGGAAGGAGCGGACGATCGGGGCAGGAGGGGTAATGTTGGGATAAAATCTTTATCGTTTTGGAAGCCATTAAGAAAAAAATGTTCTTCTTGTTTTATCCTGTTCATTTTGTGTTTAAATGCTAAAAAAAACAAAAAAAAAAAAAAAACATATTTAGGTGTAATTTTGGGGGGCCGGGAACCAATTGTTTTCCATTATTTCTTATGGGAAAAATTCGATCAGAACTCGAACTTTTTAGGATTCGATCCGGAGTCCGGAACAGATTAAGTTCGAGAACCGAGGTACCACTGTATTGCTATACTGATGATTATATCAGAAAATCCTATCAAATAATTAGCCAAAGAATACATGAACTATTATTTGTACAATTTCTTCCTAATCTTTTAGTTTAATGTAGTCATACATTATTTTTAAAAGGACAATCACTAATCCACGAAGTCATCATACCCTTTTTAAATATCAAATCAAAACCCATTCTCAAATAACTTTTACCAGCTTTATTTACAAATTTTGCCTTATAACATCAAACTATTGAAAAGAAAGCCAACAGCTTAGAAGATTAATTAAATGAAATGAAAAACCAGAATGACAAGGTTGGGAAAAGTCATCAATCGCCTAATTTAATACTTAGTAGGGCCACCTTTTGCTGTAAATACAACCATCAATCTCTTTGGATATGTTTCTACCAGCTAGACTGGGGAATGTATGCCCATTCTTCCTTGCGGAATTGTTCGAATTCATTCAAATTCCGTGGGGAATGGCAATGGACGCTATCTTTCACAGATTTTTTGTTTTTTGCTCATTTGACTTCCGCTGCTGGCCCCTGGAGGATGGGCTCCGCATTTCAGTATGGTTCCTCCTAAGGTTTCTTCCTTCTCTGGAGTTTTTCCTTGCCACTGATGTCACGCCCCCTCATTATCCACGTGTGCTTCCCCGATTGTGCCCAGCTGTTTCCTGTTTCTTTTGCCTTGTCCTGTGTATATGAGTCCGCGTCTCCCCATGTATGCCAGATCCGTCATTGTATTGTCCGTCGATGTCCGTCTCTTGTGCATTAAACCCAGTTTACCTGAAGTCCTGGCTTGCTCTCCTGCTTCCCTGCTCGCCTCCTTCGCCGATCGTGACAACTGTCACCTCTGGCTTGCTTACTGGGGGCTTTGGGCAGGATTGCTGTAAACACTTTGAGACGTAATGTTGTGAAAATGAGCTATACAAATAAAATTTAATTGATCTGAACTGAACATGTGGTTTATGTCTGGTCAGGAAATATAGCCCTGTTCCTTTCTTGTAAAACAATTTCATTCTGTTGTATGCTTAAATGCACCATAACAAATTAATTTCTCTTTCAAAGTTAAGTGCAAAATTCACTGCCTTATAAATATGCTTATTTAGGCTACATGATGAAATCACAATATTAAATTGTGTGCAAACATTTGTTTGCATTATAATCTATATTGCTTTTATTTGTTGGGCAAAACATCCCTGCTCAGATTCAAAATTATTAGTTAGCACCAGCCCAACATCCTTCTTCTAACAGCCTATTCTTCTAATAGTTGACCTACCTCAGTTGTGATATATTAATTAACCTTTTTGGACATTGCATCTTAGGACTGTTCCACAAAAATTATATCCATCCCTTTAGAACTCCGATATGTAAACCAACAATTACAGGTTGTTGTGAAAATCAAATCATGAGCTATACACACATTCATTATTAAATGATCATTTCTATTTTAACCCAACATCCCATTGCAGGGTATCACCTTGTGTTTGATACTCCCTTGGGTGGGATCCTGGTCGTTATGGAAGATGGGTTGATGTGTTTTCTAGTATCGTGCTTTCTCTGGATATGTTATAAACGTTAGTGTTTTAGTATTTCTACATCATCCCAAATTCATGGTTAGTATTCTGGATACTTTATCTTGTTGCATAAAAAACATGTTGAACTTACAGTACATGTTATATATTCAGATCATTTACTGCAATAACGTGCCCATTCAAGGTCTCAATGTAAAGACTGATTTCTATTTACCAATGTTGTTAAGAAGATGTTAAATACTTTCTGTTCTGGGTCGCGATTAATGTAATTTTGCTGTTGCTACGAGACAGTATTTGCAGGATTAATCAGATGGGAAAATAGGAGGAACCAGACTCCTGCTGGGAGGTACTGGGATTAGTTAAGTGATGCCTTAGACAGGAATCCTATAGCCTCCTTTTAATCCTCATAAACATATTAAGATGTCATATCAATTCATTAGTTAATTTCCATATAAAAACTGACTCCCTGTGTATATCTGTGTGATGTCAGCTTCTTCCAGCGTTGCAGTTAGTCATGAAAGAAAACACGTTAGTCCCGTACTCAGGTGCATGAATTGTATTTGTACGAACTGCATGCGTAAGGTGCTCAAATTTGGACGGTGTATCGATATAATCAGTTTAGTATTTCTTCGAATAATACTGTTATCCATAAATATTCGCTAGCAGTTGGTTTTCTTACGCCTTCTTCCGCCCTACAATAGCAGTAAATATTTACTGCGCGCACATGTATGTTCTGTACCTCACTGGTGTTTCTGAAATCATCCTTCCTGCCAGCTTTTTGGTGATCTCTGCCCTGTTTTTTTTCCCCACAGCATAACATAACTAAATTCACAGACAATGTTATTAGGATAGTCCATTTGCCAGAAATATTTAAGGGCGTCGACTATACAACATCGAACAATTAACTACTATAGCCCAGTATTTGTTCTATATTGCACTTAATTAAATTCGGTGGATTTTATGTGTTAAAAGCGATTGTCAAAACTTCCCCTCGAAAAATACCCTCTAACATGCATGAGGCAAAAGTAATTAAAAGGTTTAAATAAGCATATACTATTTACACTGAATATCGAGATAATAGTGTAAATGGGGTGCGGATTTGATATGAGCTATAAAGGATCCCCAGTGATTGGTTAAGGTAATATGACATCACGTGCCGTTACCCCACGTTGCCCGTAAACTGTTCAAAGAAATGAAAAATCTGTGGCTTGGCGAGGAGGACCACATCTGGCTCAAACTGACCTGCCTTCTTCTTAAAAGAAGTTGGTGCTTCGTTCAAGGGGTTATCCGTCACCTGTATTTGATATTGTTACTGACAAGATCATAATTATTCACTTTAAAACACCAGAGGCAATTTTTAGGATAGGATTTTGAAAGCAGCTACTTCTTGGTTAATCGACTAAAATGCAACATGAGTGATAACAACACAGAAACCTACTGGATTTCACCTTGGAACTTAAATGGTAAGTTAATTATTTCAGATGTTTTTTCTTCTAATATGCTATGGATACAAGTAGCATACAATTATGATTCTGTAATGCACTCACATTTAGTAGTGAATATTATGAAAATGCATTATCTCACTTAGACATGTGGTAGAAAAATCAGGTTTTTATTTATATTAATTATGTACACCGCGCGAAAGAACTAAAACTGCATAATCGTGATGTCTCTGAAAGATTTTAAATTATACTTCGGTCAGTTGAAACTGCTCTCATTTATGGACGGTACTGATTTATTTTTGCAAAGAGTTAAGCATGCTGCCAGCTGTCAAAGAGAAAATGTTATTGTGTAAGTCCTGCTATTACAATAAACTCACGGGGTTCGTTTCTTCTAAATGATACGAACCGTAATTTATTGGTTAATTGTTAAGGCTATTTTGTCCTGAATGAATTTGATGTCTGCGAAATCATATTTACCTTCTCAATACACAGTAATTATGCAGATATAGCCTAGTGTAAGTTTCACTACTTTCATCATGACTACAGTTGGTCAGATGTATACATTTTAATAAATGAGCTGCCTGGAATCCTAAATCATTTTGCTGACATACAAACACCTGTCAGACACAATGACTTCTCTAGCAACTTGAGATTTTTACAGGGAATTGACATTTCTGTATTTATCACATGAATATAAGGTAATAAAACGAACAGCGTCGGTGTTTACTGAATTTTGTTGGTTCTTTCAAAATACCGAACAGCTGTTTTAAATGCTTTTCAAATTACAGTACTGTACAAATTAGCTCACTGAACTGTGCATAATTCAAGTATGCCATAATACGGTGCAATATTGTACATGAAATATAGCTTATTTCGTTGCTGCTGCATCCCGTTGTCTGGTTTTCAGCAGTTTATCATAAGCTTGGATGAGTCTATATTCGTAATTGAGAAAATTATTTTCTGTGCATGCAGCATTAGTCTCAGGTACCATTTATAAGCGGTGGATCACTATAACCATGATCACTATAAGCAGTTTGCACTGTATTCTGATTTCTAACATTCAAATTACGTTCTCTCTTCTGTAGCTATTTCATTGCGACAAAAGAGCAAAGTGTCAGTGTTCACAGTAAATTTCTCAGAAGTCACAAAAAAAGTTTTTCATATCTTGTCTTTATTTACTTCCATTGCTAATTATCTAATTATCTATAACATCAAGTAAAAAAAAAAACAACTGAAGATAAGAAAACCAGTACAATACCCCCTTTACATTCGCGAAGGTTAGGAACTGAATATCCCCTCGAATGTTAAAATTCGCGAATACTTGGAATACCATTATGCAAAATTAACGGCAAGTTTAAAAGTTTCTACTAAAGGGGTTAGGGGAGGTGTAACATTAGCCTACTGCCCGAATTGCCCACAGTATCAGCCCACTTGATTTGAAGGCAACGGGCCCGAAGCTTTGTTATTCAACCTAATAAGAGCAGCTGTAACTGAATTGCTGAAGCAAGCTTTGAATTTGGAACCAACCATTTTTACGTTATTTATGGTTGTGTATAAGTAATTTAAGTGAATTTTAGCACGTATTCTACCTTACCATGCATGTAACTTTATTTATAGGCCTACTGAACGCTGACAGGGTTGCCAACTCATACATATTTGTCGTGAAAGACGCTTTCAGGTTCTCACGCAATAAGTCTTACGGCAAATCTGTATTATTCCATTATAAACCTAAAATTAGCTATGTAAAAATCTTTGGGGTAGTTTGCAATCCCTATACAGAATATTATTTATTGTTGTTGTTATTTATTAAGGTCATAAACTCTTACATACTTGTAAATGCGTGTGCATGTGTCTGCAGACTTGTCTCGCATTGAAAATCTCACTCCAGCCAGCTGGCCAAAGTTGGCAATTCAGCGCTGACATCAACGTTAGCAAAGTGTCATGTTAAATGAGTGAATGCACCTGTACCCGCGGGATGGATACGTTAATGAGTGAGGCTTTTAGTGAGCACTGTTTTCTTGACTGGCTTGGGTGACGGTGGGAATGTGTGTGCTGAGTGTTGGCTGGGTCAGCAGGTTAAAAAAATCAGTGAACCTTTTGTAGGAATCTTGTAACAATTCGCATCATGTATATAAACACATAAGAAGGCAGATTTTTAGTAGTCACAGCTAAAGAAAAGAAGCTGAGTAGTAATAAACAAAAGCTGATATGTCCCTCTGTAACTCATTTCTTTATGAGATCATTTGTTTGTGATTCATCAGATATTGGGCTTTGGGCTTCCATTCTCTCATCCATCACTTTCTATCACACTGCCTCTTCAACCGCATATCAAAGTTAACTTTAAAATGCAGTTTATTACAGTTTTAATTAATAGCATGGGGAATTTGTCTATTGTTCGCTTCCATGGTGTGCAGAATGTGCCCCTGCTGTCTCTCCAACAAGCACATCTTACCACTGTGGGGACCCCCCCCCCCCCACATCATTTATTTCCCCTTCACAAAGCTATACATGTTGTGCACCTACAGGAACAGTCTTGCCATCATTTTATGGCTGGTACCTTATCAGATGAATACAGATTTATCTATGAAAATGTCCATTTGGAAACGCCTGCATGGAAGCGTTATGTTCTGCAGGGGCCCAGCTTATGGTATGTGATGATCAGTCTGATCTACCTCCAGATTGAATTAAATTGTCTGTCTTTTACTAATGTTGCACTGATTTTATAGCACCGAATGTTCATGTTAAGACAGCAATGTTTGAATGAACTGCCACTAAAACCTCCTCCGGTGTGATTCCCCATTCCCTCCCATTCCCTCCATCATTCCCTCCATCAGCAAATGAGTTTTACTGCTGGCATCCCACACTTTGATTGGAATATTATTGATGTTGAATTGTGTTTTATTTCCTCTAGTTTCTCTTTGAGCTCCAAAAATATCTCCATTGGCCCACTATGCATGTCAGCCTAGGGCCCCTAGAGAAGTTAGTCCGCCGTTGGATATAGTCACATCTGGCAGGGCTTCTTGTAGTCTTTCATAACTCTGCCTAATGTGACTTAGGAGACCAGGCTGCACCCTGTATATAGGCTTATGCTGTACCATGCTCCATAAATTCTTCTTTGAGATATACCACACAGCTTTGTCTGTTTGCCAGCCCATCAAGATCAATCCCTCTAGATTCATTAGCCCAACACAGAACAATTAATGAGGCCTGAGGCAAGGCGGAGATGGGGCCCAGCAGAGCTGACTAATTGGACAGAAATTCTGCAATATCTCTGCAAGTGGGAAAGCGTGTCAGAGATGTTGCTCGAGCCAGAGATCAAGGCTGGTGCGATTAAAAAGGCATAGCCATAAAGGAAGCTATTCAGTTAGCATATCAAAGGGAACAACCTGCAGTATAGTTCAGGTGGTCAGAGTTGCTTCAACAATTGCCAATTATCAGATAATGCAGGAACAGGAATGACAGCATGACATATGCACTGTGTATGACTCAGATAATCCATGATGCAGTGGTTTGTTTACCCATAAACTCGATTCCCCTGTGGTGCACATTATCCTGAGAACTGTGATGCATTTTGTATTTTTTTCAGGGATCACAGAGGTGAATGTTTTGGAGAAACAGAGAGCTGACGCTATGCTAATGCTGAATGTGGCTGTGTGATGTGCAATGTGCGCATTCATAGAGACTTTCACACTTGTCTCAATATCATGTCCATATTATCAAAACTCTTCACACAATGTGCTTTACAAAACGCACCTGAGCACATTAGTTAACCTTTGGTGCAAAATGCATTTCAACCACCAAAACACTTCATACTTAACCCAATAGTGATTCATTACTATAACATATGCTCTCCCCCATAAGACCACTGTGTCATTTATTGTACAAACAATGGATTAACATTGATATCATTGAAAGAAAATTTATTCTGGTAACTCTACAGAGTCCAATGATCCCAAATTTGGTAATTTCTAAATATGCCCAAGTACTCACTCCAGCCCTGTGGAAAGAAATTGCTAAACTGGTGAGAACTTCAGCTCACTAATTATGTTTTTAAGGGTTTCTGAGCTCACAGTTACAGTTTTTTTTACAATCACTTGTCCACTTTTTCAAAACACTTCACACTGTGAACTTTACAAACATGTACCTGAGCATACAGTATCAGTTACAGTTTTTCTTGATTTCTTTCATGCAGCAGTCAACTCAAACTCCTCAATTACAAAACAGTTACACACAGGCCTAACCAGTGGCACTCATGGTCAAAGTGGCACGTTTTGTTTGCAAAAGGCTCTAACCGTGCCAAAACATCTAAAATATGAAACAAAAGCAAAATTTGCCTTCAAACAACACAACTTGCAAACAAGTGTATGAGCTCTTCCAATCAATCATTACACAATGGACAACAAAATTCAAAATGCAGCGCTCAGTGCGAATCAGTGCACCATTGCTTCTCATTGTAACCTATTACATAGCTGTCATGCCAGTGCCATTTGTTATCTTTCTACATAAGCTGTGTCAAATTTGGCTTCTTGCAAAGAATTGGATCCAGAATGAGAAATGCTTTGATGCAAATTTTATTGATTCCATGACATTCTTTTTTTCAAACTGTGGCTGAAAACTGAAATACTGTAAATATTACAGAAAATACATGTAAAACAAAATAACATCTATCAGAGTATAAAAAATTAAGAAAAATATATAATCTATTACAGTAAAGTATAAAAATCTATTACAGTATAAGAAATAGCCACTATTGATACTCAGTCTCTTCTGTCTTGACGATGGGGCCACCTGGCTTCATCCACATCACATTCAATATCCTCCCTTGCAATGCACCCAGGGAAAAACCTTCTTGAATGCCTTATCCAACCTTGATATAGACTTTGATTTATAGGTGTACAGACTGATTGCTGATTGCAGATCTGTGTGAAGGAGTGTCAAACAGGTGCTGTAGTGATTTCATACTGGTCTACGTAGTTTCTTATAGTTGGGTATAGATGGTTTCTGTTTGGTCACCAGAGTTA